CTTTCTTAATTTCTTAAAAGGAAATAAAATACTTAGATTAAACAGGAATTGCTGTATCTTTTTTCATCTTTTTTTAATATTAAAAACTTTTCCCTGGAGTCTTGATTAATTATAAAATATCTTTTTCCTTCATTAAGTTTTACAAAACTTCTTCTAATTTTTCTTTGTTATGTGAATATATTAGAACATTTAATTATTTCTACGACTTTCTTGGCATTTTTATTATTCTCTTTATCATATCATGTTTCTGAATAATAAGCATCCTTTCTTCTTTGTACAATTTCTCTATGGGATGAGGGAAAGTAGAAAAAGGACAGTAAAAAGTGAATCCCACATCTTTCATCCCATTTCACCCAATTTTTAAAAACCAGACTTTACATATTCAACATAAATGGCAATATGAAACATAAAATAATTTCACAGAACACAAACTGTTTATTAAAATAAAATTTACTATTGCATAGACTATAGCTATTGGTACCAATTTTGTCAAGGGAAGCAACCCATACACAAAAGTTGTTTTCTGCATGGTTGGGAAACTGCTTACAGATGTACATTTCTTTTGCATTCTTGTATTAGATAAATTGCTCCCCTTTGAGCATGTTTTCCCACATAACGACAGTGTTATATCTTTTGATTCAGTAGGTGCGTCTAAGTTACTGTAAGGAATCAGTCTAAGACTTGAATGTGGGAACATGAGAGCTAATAGCGTCTGCAAAATAGTCCTATGTTGTCCATAAAGTGTAACCTTTTCTCATATCAAATATCAATAGGAATATAATTGAAGATATAGCACAATACCCCTGACATAGCCACCCCAAAGTACTCACAAAACAAAAAGTACTCATAAAACAAAACAAAAAAAGTATTTCTTTAGTATTTTCTCATAATAGTGACATAATAATTTAAGTGGCCAAAACAGTTTGAGTTCTCAAGGAAATAGAAATGATTGGTGTGGGGAACCACTCAAAACTTTGCCATCAATTTTTAGTACTTTTCTGTCTCGGGGAGAAAATCAGCATGCAATTACTTGTACGTTATGTGTTCTTTACTGCAATTTTTCTCATAATTTCCAATTGTAATATTTTTCCTTTTCAACCCAAAAAACAACTACTTGGGGAATACTACAAAAAAAAACAGAGATCATAAGAAACTTGAGGACCACCAGTTTGAAAATTTAGTATAGAGTCAACATTTCCCCCTTTTTATTCCCAGAAATCATCCCAAGACATAGAGAATGAGAAACAATAATGCAAATGACCTATTTATTGAAAATAGGAACCAATGAAATCCTAGGCCACCAGATAAATGGAATGGATCACAAACCAGTGATGACTGAGTGGAAGGGTGTGCAGGAGGAAACAGAAAAGAAACCTAGAGGAAATAATCTGGAAGTGGCAGATTTCAAAAACAGCTAACAAATATACCTTCCTCTAAGGCTAGGGGCCATGCCTCTCCAATTGCAGACGCGATGCAATAGTTTCAGGTAGAAGCAGCTATAGAAGGAGTTTGGTTCCAAAAAAGCAGCGAAAGTGAGACTCAATGAGGAGCTATACAGATAACACATGTTTATAGCTGTGGAAACAGAAAAGTAAAGTCTTCCATTGTGGGAAAAAAACCCAGAACAAACAACAAAATCCACATTGCCTATCTCCATTGTCTAGACAGAGGAAGACTCACTTTGTTCAGTGATACAAAAGAAAAACTGGACAAGCATAGTATCTTTGTAAAGATACAGTATTCCTCACTTATCTGTGCTTCAGTTACCCGTGGTCAATCGTGGTCTGAAAATATTAAATGAAAAATTCCAGAAATAAACAATTTATAAGTTTTAAATCATGTGCCATTCTGAGTAGTGTGATGAAATCTTGCGCCGTCCTGCTCCGTCTGGCCCAGACACTACCTCACAATGCCTGTATCATTCACCTCATTCCTCTCATCACACAGGCACTGTGCCATCTCACACCATCACAGGAAGAAGGGGGGAGCACAGTGCAAGGAGATATTTAGAGAGAGACCACATTATAAAACTTTTACTACAGTATCTTGTTATAATTGTTCTATTTTATTATTACTTATTATTGCTACTCTCTTAGTGTGTCTAATTTACAAATTGAACTTTATCACGGGCATGTATGTATAGGAAAAAACATAGGATATACAGTGTTCGGTAGTATCCACAGTTTCAGGCACCCACTGGGGTCTCGAAACGTATCCCCATGGATAAGCGAGGACTACTGTACTACGAGATAAAGAGAAAGAGAGGGGCAAAAAGAAAACCAAGGGCACATGGGGACCATGCACTAAAAACACGTTGCCATGAGAGAAGTTGAAAATTGTCACCAAACATTTCACTACGAATTTTTAAATTGTCATGACTAGCAATCACCTTTCTGAAGCAATTACACAGTGCAGAAATGCAAGATGTCAGGGGGAGGTTAGCAAGAGAAGAAGGAGAGATGAACCATAAGTTTCTAGTGCTCAACCAAACACTATAACGGAAAACAGTAGAAGCGCCATAAATTTGAAGGAGAAATTGGAAGTCATACAGGAAGAGGGAGTACAGAAAGCACAAGAAGGCAGCAAGGATTGAAGCAATAAATGCACGCTAAGTAAATGGATGTTAATAAAGAACCGAAAAGAACTGGAGAGAAATTATTTTTTTTTAAAGATTGGCACCTGAGGCAACATCGGTTGCCAATCTTGTTTTTTTTTCCTTTTCGTCGTCTTCTCCTCAAAGCCCCCCAGTACACAGTTGTATATTCTAGTTGTGAGAGTGCCTCTGGTTGTGCTATGTGGGACCTGCCTCAGCACGGCCTGACGAGCAGTGCCAGGGCCATGTCCAGGATCCAAACCAGCGAAGCCCTGTGCCACCAAAGCAGAGCACGTGATCTTAACCACCTGGCCACAGGGCCGGCCCCTGGAGAGAAATTTTTGAGTGTGTCACAAACAAAAGAAATCCAACATACATATAAAAGGAATCCCTGGGGAAAAAAAGTGTAATAATAAGGTAAAGCAAATATTTCAAGATATAAACCCAAGAAACTGTTCCTGAAATAAAGGAAGACTTGAATCTACATGATGGGGAAAACAAAAACAAAAACCAACCATGTCCCCAGGCAAACTAGTCCAGCACAGACAGCACTAGGATAATGTTCTAGCGAAGTCACCAGACTTCAAAGAGAAATGAAGAATCCTTTAGTCAGCCAGGCAAATAAGAATTCCCTAAATTCTGCAATGCTAGAAGAAAGAAGAAGAGCAATGCGGTCCTCAGCCAAACTGTACTTCAAGTATAACGCAAGAGACAAACACTTTTGAACATGTAAGCTTTCAGAAACATTGCTTCCAAGAGACCTTCCTCAGGAATCTATTGGAGATGCCCGCATGCAGCCGAGAGATGGTTACAGAAACAATAGCGAACTTTCCAGCAATGTCAACTCCTGTCAGAAGCATCCTCCCAGACGACAGTGGAGCCTTCAGGCAACAGCAGCTCCAGACAGCTGGGCTGCAGTATCAAGAGATACCCTGATTCAGAACCTCCCTGATAAGGTGCACCTAGACTCCTCGACTGGAGAAACTAGGAGATAGGCATTGTTTGTTGTTTCAAGTTGCTAAATTTTAGGGTAACTTGTTATGCAACAATAGATAACTAAAACCAGGCTTACAAAGTATTGAATTTGAAGAGGCTGGTATGCTAGAAAATAGGAAGAGGATTTTTTAAGGACATTTGTTGGAGTGCTATGAGTCCCACCATCCCCCACAGGGGAGACTGTGGAATATCAGCATCCTTAACCACAGGGACAAGAGTTTCCAGCAAACCATTTGGGACTGATATGTGTTCTCTGGATTTAATGCCAAACTCATGCTAGATCCATGTTTGGAAATGACTAAAGGCAAGAGGCTGTGGCTGCATTATTGTTCTGAGGCTGCGATGGTGGCGGCTGTGCTGGAAGTGGCTTGCATGCCTAGAGTCTGTCAGGCAAAAGACAAACAAACGTTTTTTACAGATATGAGCCAGGTGGGAGAAAAGACCAGCTGGGAGATATCTCAGTGTGATTTTGCTCAAAAGAGACAAATGAGGGAGCAGTACAAATCAAGAGTAAGAATCTGTTCTGGGTGGACCACCACAGCTAGGAGCTTAGAGGAGAGGAAACATTCATCTCATTAAGAAACTGCAGGTGAGACATCCCCAGGGAATGAGGGAATCGCAAAGAACCCAGAAATATGCTCCAAGAAGAAGAGCCAACACTTCCTGTCTGAGCCGGCCTGTGGAAAATAAGATCCTAGCTCTTCCCGCAGGAGAGGAAGCCATAGCCGGGACACTGTAGGTTGAGAAAACCGGGAAAGCAGCTGCCCACAGCACCCCTTCCACCCAAGACTGAAGCGGAATAGCACTGGGGAAGGGAGAAGCTGTAACATCCATAAGCTTCAGATCTTGTCTATTACGTAAAACTGTAATTAACTAAGGAATGGGACCTTGTGTTCTGCCCTTTAACATACGTCTCTATATGATTAAAACTAAATTTAGTTAAAATTAATAAAAATAATGGTGTTTTACACCATAGTAATAGATATCATACAATTATCAGACAACAGAAGTTCTCTCATTCGAACCCAGACCTTCAAACCTTGGACTGCTGCTGACTGGTGACCATAACTCGAGCCTCACCAGCTGAGTAAGAGCCCAGCGTCCACAGCAAACCGACGCAGAGCACGCATGCCACACCTGCTCTACCAGCTGCAGTCTCATACAGACTTCCCTGAGGAAGACATCTATAAACCGCTTTTCGAACAAATGATAAGGCTTGATTGGAATATAGCTAAAAATTAAGAAGCTCCATGCATTTTGAGGAAAGTGCAACATACTGTTAATTAAAGTTGGCTTTCATTTTTCTTCTTTTATTCTAACATCAGATATTCATTGGTTTAAAAAACTTTAGGGTTTTAATTATAAAAATAAACAAAAAAGCAAATGAATAAAGAAGCCTTGGCAACACTACCTCTGAATATGACGCTCTCGATCACAGAGATGTAGTCTTCAGGCTCCTGCTCAGTCGAGATCTCCCCTCTGCCTCCAGGGATATTTAATACTTGATAGAGATGGTCTGCGCTCTTCACCCCACACAGCAGAGTAACCACACTTTCTGGTGAACGAAGTACCTCTTCCAAAAACTGACACTTCTTGGGAGTTAGGTTTTTAAGCAGGCTGTTTGATAATATCAAAAGCTTGCATTTGTAAGAGTTTAAACTCAGCAGTTCCAAATCCCGCAGAGAGAAATTCTCCAAGAGATATAACAGGATGGCTTCCCTTTCCACAACATGTAGCAAGATCTCCCTCAGGTACAGAGCCCACTCCGCAGCCTCCTCTTCATAGAGCATCACGATGTCTTTCATATGTTCTGGAAAAGAAGAAAACAATGTATTAATTTTCTTATATTTGAAATGACAACAGCAGGTTATATCATTATTTCTCAAAAATTGTAATGCGCTCTTTAAGCAATGTATTACTTTGCTTATACCAGAGACCAACAATACAACTCATGTTATCCCCAACATAATCATATGGGATTAAAGTAAGCCTTCACAGGCAAGCCAGCTCATGCTTTGTGCAAGTCTACACTGTACTCACTGTACCAATGGGAACACGGGATGCTCCACAGAAATAAGTGAGAGGCCTGTGGAAGAATGCAAGGAACATCCTGTGGGATTAGGGTACTGGGCTACAGGATGGCTAATCGAACCTGTATTGCTGGTCTTTCCATTTTGCTAAGTTGAATACATGTACATATAGAACAAAGACTCAATACTGAGGGGATTCTGATGGCACTACAAAACGCAAACATTAAAAATCTTGATGAAATAAAAGTAATCATAGGTTGGGGAAACTGAGCATTTGAGGAGGAAAAAGTATAAAGAACTTGATCTTTCATAAAATTTAGTCGTTTAATACTGCCTAAATTTGAAACCTGAATTTAAAAAGTGACTACATTCTCTCATTATTTTTTGTATCATAATTCTCCCTAAACAGTAATAAATAATTTAGAAAGTATGTGAGAAGAGAAATTTTTACCTGAAAATTAATGTCCTTCAAATTTCCTTTATATTAATTTAAAATCAATTATTTTATTTACAAATAGCATGCTGGGGCCCCCAGGGGTGTAGTGGTTTAAGTTCACATGCTCTGCTTCGGTAGCTTTGGTTCACTGGGTCAGATCCCGGCACAGACCTACACACCGCTCAGCAAGCCATGCTGTGGAGGCATCCCACATACAAAATAGAGGAAGATTGGCACAAACTTTAGCTCAGGAACAATCTTCCTCAAGCAAAAGGAGGAAGATTGGCAGCAGAAGTTAGCTCAGGGCCAGTCTTCCTCACCAGAAAAAAAGCATGTAGAGTATGGTCTCTCTTTTTTTTGAGGAAGATTAGCCGTGAGCTAACATCTGCTGCCAATCCTTCTCTTTTTGCTGAGGAAGACTGGCGCTGAGCTAACATCCGTGCCCATCTTCTTCTACTTTACATGTGAGATGCCTACCACAACATGGCTTGCCAAGCTGTGCCTTGTCCGCACCCAGGATCTGAACCGGCGAACCCTGGGCCGCCAAAGCTGAATGTGCAAATTTAACCGCTGTGCCACTGGGCCAGCCTCTAATCTCATTTTTAAACAATCACACCCATTACTCAAAATAATTTCATCAATGGTTAGCAACAGTTGTTTATGAGAGATAGGATTTTGAGAGATAAATGACGCTTTTTTCACTCTTCCATATTGCTTATATTTTTGTAGTACACCTGTATTATTTTATAAAGCAAGGTAATCATTCTTAAAAATCAGCTTGTAAGATATTATTTTGAGTACAAAGAACCTAACACCAAAACTCTTGGAACCCACAATTATCTTTTTCCTTCTGGATATAGAGCACGTATTTTCTGCACTATTGATGCAGCAATTAACACCAAAATGATTTTGAGAGCTACTGTATTTTTATTGTTATATATAGCTTTTCTCATGATTTAAATATTATTTCTGAGGAGAGATGCTTTATCTTTCAACTCATTGATTCATACACAATGCCTAGCACAATTTCTTGAACAGATATTCGACAAAATTTTAAAAATCTATTCATACGCAAAGAATGAGAAAAACACCTCGGAGAAAACATACAGGAATCCTACACAAGTGCTGTGTGAATCATCAGTATAGTTCTGTTATTTTCTGTGTAGTGTCTCACTAGCCTGAATGCTCAAGAATGCTCAAGAAATACTGTTGAACAAACACAAACATGGGGTCATAACTCAGTATTTTTTTTTTTTAAAGATTGGCACCTGAGCTAACAACTGTGGCCAATCTTTTTTTTTTTTTTTTCCTGCTTTTTCTCCCCAAATTCCCCCTGGTACATAGTTGTATATCCTAGCTGCAGGTCCTTCTAGTTGTGGCATGTAGGATGCCGCCTCAGCATGGCCTGATGAGTGGTGTCATGTCCATGCCCAGGATCCGAACCAGCGAAACCCTGGGCCGTTGCAACGGAGCATGCGAACTTAACCACTCGGCCACGGGGCCGGCCCATAACTCAGTATTTTTGTGTTTGAGGAACAGTAGAGGAAAGGTTTTCTTTATATTTTATATGATAGCCAGAATAAGTTGCTGTATAGTTATAACATAACTGGAGTAAAAATAAAACTAATAATAATCTAAATGATCAACTGCTTAAAATAAGCTAGGACTCTTCATGTCTTACATACGTTATTTCACTTAATTCTCAAAAGTATCCTGTCAAGGTACTCACGTTATTCTCATTTCACAGGTGGGAAAACTGAATTGGTATCGGAATTAGGATTCCAGTCTGTCCTATTAGCCTCTAACAGCAGAGGAAGCAACATTATTTAAAAGATTAAAATCAATTCTTTGTAGTGATACGAGCTAGCCTAAACTACAAAGAAATGAGTTACAGCCATAATAGACTCAGTAGTGAAAAGACGAACATTAATCTTGATATAATCACACACACACAAATATACCATTACTCAAATTAAAGGGAAATTGCATATCAATGGGAAGCAGCCTGTGAGTTCATCTCAAGTATGCAAAGTATGTGAAAGCTTACTGGGAGTCTGGTTTCCTATCCTGGAAAAAGAGGAAATAGACCGTACGATGCACTCCAAGAGTATGGTTATCTATGAACTTCCTTCTCGACTCTAAAATTTAAATCAATGAAATCACAGAATAAGCTGTGAGAGTATATTAAAGTATAGAACGAATACTCCCACGTTACATGGTGGGGCATCACACTCCATAGGAAGACAACCACAGGAAATCAATTCTAGAGACAATCATAACTATCCTTCAAAACTTCCTGAGAAAATTACACAGGTAATCTTTCTCAATACTCTGGGACCGTCTTTTCCTATGTTGAAATCGAGCCTTCCTTTTAAATTTGTATTCAACTTATACTTAGTCAATCACCTTTGTTTGACAATTTTCAAAAACCTAAAGATTAGCATTAAATGTCATCTCTTTTCTCTAGATTACATCATTTCAGTCTTTTAATCTTTAATTTTCTCACTTATCATTGACTGAGACTTTCCATGTACCAGGCATGTTGCTCAGCACTTTACATGCATGGCTTCCTGTAACATTCCTGAAGCTGTATGGCGTTGGCCTGGTTATTCCCATTTTACTGATGATCACACTGAGCCTCTGAGAGGTTAGGTAGCTTATCAGGGCCATGCAGATGGTCTTCATGCTGCCGCCCAATCTTTTCTTATGAAACCGTGTTGAGTCAAAATAAAAGGCCTTTTCATGGCCATGGTTTTCTTTTTCCTCATCCTAGAAAATAGAAGCTTGTCCTTGAGTAACATCTGGACCGTGGACCCAACAATTGTTCTCTTTGAATTCTCAAGAGGAGCCTGCTGGCCTTGCAATACACTTCATTTTATACACTTGAACTAAATCAAATCTAAATTATTATTCTGCACATTTAAGGAGTGTTCTTATCACTAACGTTGGCTAACTTTTATAGTCTGTGAAATGAAACAATAAATGATGAACCTAAAATAAAGAAACACAAGATTTTCATTCCTGAAAAGCTTTATCCAAACTAAAGGGAAATTGCTACTGAAGATGCAATTAAGGTCTGTAAATAAATTATTTAAAATGTAAATCTCCAGTCTAGCCACACAAAGTAAATGACAGCAGTATACAATGATATAGGAATAAAATATAGCCATATTAATTTTTATAAATTTACTATAAAGTGTTCTTTCAGATTCTATAATAATGCCTTATTTAGTAATCTTACAAAATACCGTCACAAATCTTTAAACTTGACGTAAACTTGTATCAATAATTGATATCAACAAATGCTTTTGCACCAAGAACAGATTATACTGCATATTGCTAAAAGAATGAGATAGATCATAAATCAAATTCCTTCCTATTACATCTGCCCAGCTTGAAATGGCAGCTTTTCTTCTTTTGAATAAGATCCCATCTCTTACCTATGTTTGACTGTGCATAATGGAGAAATATTTCATGATGCATCTTTCCAATATTATATTTTTCAAACTGATAACCGAAATGCAGAAGAAAAGAAAACAGAAAACTACAAAGAAATGAGCTACAGCCATGATAGACTCAGTAGTGAAAACATGAACATTAATCTTGATATAATCACACACACACAAATATACCATTACTCAAATTAAATTATCAGTGCAACTGAATTTGTTGTATACTCTAACTTTGTAATCTAACTTGTACAACAGGGTAACAAAACTGGGGATTTTCCAAAGGCATTAAGGTAGTAAAACACTATAACTCATATTCCTCCAGGAAAATTGGCTAATTTCACTTATTCATAGTGGCAAAAAGTACCAGAGCTTTTCTGTATATATCTGTCCAGCATGAACATCCCACACCTTCCTGGACCACCAGCTACAACTTGGTGGTCAGCTGCTAAGCACACTGACCACTTCTGAGGTCTGTTTTGCTGCCTGAGGACTCTGGAGCTGAGGCAGCTTCCCGAGCCAGTGCGCCTGCCTGGCAGCTGACAAGTGCTGGGGATTTAGTGCATGGAGGGATGGGAGGGCCACCCTCAGTCAGTGAGGGATGGAAGTCGATGTAGAAATAACTCACCATCCCCATCCTTCAGTGGGACAATTCTGAGGTTTGTTCTACACGGTAATTAGAGGATTCCCTGTGGTACTGAATTCTCATTGTTCATTGCATTATTCTGCTTATGAATATACACATTATTGGCTTTTCTCCCTTTCTTGTCTCACATTCCCCATTCTCTTACTAGTGCTTCATGGGCTCATCCTCTAAATAAACTACCTCACATGTCCATTTCTCAGAGTCTTCTTCAGGGGAAATCTCTATACGCATACACGTTAATTAACTTAG